CTTCCCTCCTCGGACCACCACACCACAACATGACCCATCTACTGCTGTTTCTGCAAACCTAACCACCGCTCCGTAGCTGACCTTCACAACATGCGCGGTTTTGTCAAGGAGCGATGCAACAACGATCACAACCATCGCCGTCCATGCTTGTTCCAAAAGAGGCGGTCATCGGGTTCTCCAAAAAAGGTTTCGCAACATGTGCCGTGTTGCAAAAGTCGTTGCAATGGGCATCGTGTTACAAAGTGTCGCAACATGCACCATTCTGCAATGGAACCGGACGATCGTGCTGATCCAAGGACTCGCCAGCCAGCCAATCTGTGCAAAAGATCAACAGGTCAACGAGTAGTGCATGCCATATTTTTCATAGAGAATAGTCCGTTCACAACTCAAAGTTTCATATCTACTATTTTATCTTTATTTTTGTTAGGAAATTATTTAAAATCAGTCGCATGATTTTTGGCTTCATCGGCTTCATCGGCCACCGTCTGATCGCAGGCGATCATGTGGAAGCGCGCGGAGCGCCTCGCTGTCTAGCAGCGAAGTAGCCTGACCACTTATTTGCGTCTAGCGGTCCCGTTGGTTCCTTTCTTGAGCACTTTTAACATGCTCCCTCTTACATTTACAATCAAGCTGGCTGAACCGGGAGATGGCATTTTGGTTTCATCACGAGTTATACAAGGCCTTCTGAATTGGTGTGCCTTTCATGAACCTGTAAACTAAATATATATCATGTTTTATGAAGCCATATAACTGTCACACATAGTGCCTATTTGCCACATGTGATGCTACAAATAATATACGTTCAAAAGAAATATCTAAAGGTGAAGCACGTAGCAAGCACCAAACAGGGATTTCAAAACCATCCTTGACGTTGATCGTGGATGTTTGTTGGATTTGGTACTAGCAAGCTGATGGAGTCATGGTTGTTTGGATATAGCAATGTTTGGAGTAGGGTCTTTGATGCCACGGCAAGTATACCAACCAAGTGTCATCATAGCAGGATGGTTGACGTCGTAGCATTAACGAAGCAGACGTGCGTGCCACCGTTGCAACACTGCCATGACCGGGAAGCACTCATTCGCAGCATCGTCAAAACAGTCGGGCATCCATCGCAACATCACAATGATCGTCGAAGCACGTCGTCGCAACATCACCGCGACTGTTTGAAGCATGTCGCCGCCACGGTTGGTCGCAACATTGCCACAGTCATCAAAGCACAATGTAGCAACATCATAAAGCAGTCGGGTTTCTATCGTAACGTCGTCGCTCCTGTTGAAGCACCCGTTGTGGCCGTCGAAGCATGTCATCACAACATCATTGAAGTAGCCAGGTTGCTGTCGTAGCATCTCTGCAATTATCAAAGCACACCGCGACCATCAAAGCATGTCATCACAACATCATCAAAGTACATGGGCTGCCATCGCAACATCGCCGCAACCGTCGAAGCACACTGTCGTTGTGTGAAGCACTCCGTCGTGCCATCGTTGCGGCCATCAAAGCATGTCGTCGCAACATCATTGAAGCGGTCGGGCCTCTGTCGCAGCACGCCATCACAACATCATTGAAGTATCCAGGTTGCCGTCGTAGCATCACCCCAACCATCAAAGCACACCATAGCCATCAAAGCATGTCGTCGCAACATCATCGAAGCAGACATGCTGATGTCCTAGCATTGGCGCGACCGCTGAAGCACAGCGTCGATGTGCAAAGCACGTTGTTGTGCCATCGCCATGACCATCGAAGCATGTTGTCGGAACATCACTGAAGCGCCCGGCATCCGTCGCAGCACACCTTGAAGCAGTCGGCCCACCATTGCTTGGATGTGATGCAACTCATGTCTATAGACGTTGGTAGCAGGGTACGATCATATATACCAATTTTTGTTGCAAGTCCCAACATAATCCAACAATCTCGTACTTGACAGAATTTGTAGTAGCTAGCCGGGTTATGTGAGATTGCTGCAACCATGTTGAAGAACCTTCCTGGTTTCGTGGAGATATACTCAAGTTGTTGCACAACAACTCCGGTCTTTGATTTCCTCACACATTCTTCTGACTTGATGGCTACTGTCATGGCTGTGACTATTTGGCATGTTTGGGAGGCGTAATTCTTCTAGGAACAATGAAGTTGAGCCACATCATGTTCACACTGCATTCAAGATTAAAGCTTATGTTGATCTGATTGTTCTATCTATAAGAACTGGATCCTGCGCATAGGCGTGAGAGCATTGCTTCAAGCTCTGTTTGGTCTCCGCCGCCACCAGGTACCCTGTTATTTATGTCTGATGCTGCGATATTATCCGAGCTAGGGAAGATTGGTGCAGGGGTGGTCACCCTGAATGTTGATGGCCAATGTCTTGTTGCCTGAGAAGTTACAATTGGCAGGCCTGCACCTGAGATGGCCGAGGCCTTGGCTTTTCGGCGATCCGTTTATCTTGCAAGGGGGCAAGGTTGCGAATCGGTGATCTTCGCCTCCGACTGTCTATCCCTGGTGCAGAGGGTAAACACTCCTATCCGTGATCGTTTGCTGGTGGGCTCAATGGTGTCGGACATCAAATTTGGCGCTTCAGGATTCGCTTACGTAGTTTTCAAGCATATTCGTCGGCAGTCCAATGCTTTACCTCCTGTTTTAGCTAAGTCTTGTATGAACTCTAGTGGTTTGTGTGAGACTCTTTGTAACTATGTTGCTTGATTTATAAAATGCCGACCTTGTCCAAAAAAAAAAACAACTTCCGGTCATCCGGAAAGAAATAAACTAAACTAGTCCCAATGGCCACAACCCACGTGATGTATATATAGTCCAGAATGCCCCACGTGAAGAAAAAAGGCCGAGCGAGGCTGACTTACGTGAAGAAAATAAGTCTAAATTGTTGTATCAACCGGATGTTGCCTTTTTGTAAACGTGCGTGTCTATAACTCTAGTCTAGATACCTACATATATTGAAG